TGCCTCAGTTTCACCCACACACTGTTTTTTCCAAAGACTTGTGGATGCAGTGCCCTCTGAGTCTCCATTTTGTATAAGTTGCTTTGTTTCTTCTGGCATGAATCTTGTTTGGGCATGGCTTTTCTATTAATCTTGTGGTGAGCTATGATAATCTAGTCATTTTTTCCAGAAAGTTCCATTGTGTTTATGCTTGACTGGGTGTCCTTTTCTTGAATTGCACTTTACTTCCCTTGCTCGGTTCTCTTCTGGCATCATATAATTCATTTTGTGTCCAGATGTCAATTATTACTGTTGTTATCCACTTTGTTCTCCTAGAACTCTTATTGGATAAATGGTGTAACTTCTGGGTTTATCTTCCCTATTATTTAACTTTCATTTTCTAACTTCTTCAAAAGCCATTGTGGTTCACAACTATGAGACTTTTCTCTCGCCTGACCTCACCTTTCTTTTCTTTTTTTTTTTTTTGAGTTGGAGTCTCACTCTGTCACCCAGACTGGAGTGCAGTGGCTGCTCCCAGCCACCACAGCCTCGACCTGCTGGGCTCCGGCCATCCTTCCGCCTCAGCCTTCCCAGTAGCCAGAATTACAGGCATGCGCTACCACACCCGGCTGATTTTTTTATTTATTGTAGAGGATGAGGTCTCACTGCCCAGGCGGCTCTCGAACCCGCGAGCTCAGGCAATCCACTCACCTCAGCCTCCCAAAGGTGCGGGATTACAGTCTGAGCCACCAAGCCCGGCTTGACCTCACCTTTCATGTGGTACTGCCATGGAAATGTTTTTGGATTGTCTGCCATACTCATAGTATTAAGCCTAGGTAGCTTGGCCCGGTTAATAATACTAGTTTGCATGTTGCCTTGTGGGGTATGGTGTGATGTGATGCTCCTTGAGTTTTTTTTTAAAGGAAAGAAAGTTTATTATCCCCTTTCTACAGACAGAAAAGGTCTGGTCCAGGGGTTTGGGTGCAGGATATATTTAATATATAATATTTAATATAATACTAGTTTGCATATAATTTATTATAACTTTTAATATAAAGATTTATTACAGGTCAGACCATACCAAGATCTATAATGAACTAAATTTGATTTCCCCTTTCAAATCTTTTTTCCCTTAATTCACACTGCACACTGAGCTATGGGCTAAACATTAAGAGCTGGTGATATATTAGAGAACACACATTAACAAAAAAGTGTGTATCTAGTATTCTCATTGCCATGTGAAAATATGTGACCTCCTTTTTAAAAAGGAAATGAAAACATATGTGTTTTACATGTAGTGCATATTTTACTATTTAATATTTCATTCAGATTATTACCAGTTTTAGCACTACAAACAGTACAGACACATATTTAATCTTTAACTTCTATAATAGGAGTTTCTAAATATTGCTGGGCCAAAAGTGATGCGTTTGGTGTAGGAAAAAACACTTAGACTCAAAGTGCATTTTCTGTTGTCACTCAACAACAATCACAGACAGAAGACTTGTGTAACCAAATATGTGAGGGTTTCTTCCCACATACCAAGCAAACAATCTGTTCTGCATTGGACATCAGCTGTCTAATGAACTGGTACTCCCTGCCCCCTTTCAACTCTGACACTATATTCCTGGAGATAGCATCAGATCCTGCAGGTTTAGGGCTCAATCCCACAATGTTGCCTTGTGGGGTATGGTGTGATGTGATGCTCCTTGAGTTTTTTTTTGAAAGGAAAGAACGTTTATTATCCCCTTTCTACAGACAGAAAAGGTCTGGCTCAGGGGTTTGGGTGCAGGATATATTTAAGGTTAAGCTTTTTAGGTGGAAAGGCAGGGGACGAGTAAGAGTTGCCTTACAGCTGCATTTCTAGGTGTTTATTGCATTAGTCATGTGCCTTGAGGTTGTTAAGGCAATGCATATCTTGTGACTTCAGGCAGGGATCTGGTGGGCAGTCATGGAAAGCTGGTCATCATAGATTGACCAGTCTGGCTTCAGATACCTGGAAAACAAATGCTGTATTCCCAGTTACTCAGGAGGCTGAGGTAGTAGGATTTCTTGAGCCCAGGAGTACAAGGCGTCAGTGAGCTAGGATCATGCAACTGACTTACAGCCAAGGTGACAGAAGGAGACCCTGTCGAGATTGGGGTGGGGATAGAGACAGAAAGAACAGAGATAAGAGAGGGGAGAAAGGAGAAAGGGAGAAAAAAAAGAGGAGGAGGGGACAGAGACAACATGCCTCGCTAGGTATCGGGCTCTTTTTTTAATTGTTAATTTTAAAGATGGGGGTACAATTCAGGGTTAGGTATACAAATATTCATTATGCAGGTGCCCTTGTTGATGAGGTCTCCCCTCCACCCCCCCCCGGGGTAGTTTCCTACTACTGCCAATCCCACTCCCTACCCCTCCTTGGGTTCTTTGACTCACCCCAGAAAAGAATTTCAGAATAAATCCAAGTGTAGTTTAAGACAGAGCTTATTAGAAAAAGAGATATGCCCAATGGGCATGGGCATCTTAAGAGAAAGAAAGCCCACTTATCTTTGACCAGAAGCTTTATATACTTTTATGATTATTAGAATAACCATGAACTAAGAGGGTGGGCTGCAGGATCTGGTCACCTGTTTTGATTACCATCTCTCCATCTTTGATGAGCTAATAGGATGGACTTTTCTTAGAACATCATGTCTGTGTTTTGGGTGGTTTTTTTTTTTTTTTTTTTTTTTTGAGTTGGAGTCTCACTCTGCCGCCCAGACTGAAGTGTAGTGGCCGCTTCCAGCCACCACAGCCTCGACCTGCTGGGCTCCGGTGATCCTTCCGCCTCAGCTTTCCAAGTAGCTGGAACTACAGGTGTGCTACCATGCCCAGCTAATTTTTTGATTTATTGTAGAGATGAGGTCTTGCCAAGTTGCCCAGGTGGGTCTCGAACCCGCGGGTTCAGGCAATCCACTCACCTCAGCCTCCCAAAGCACGGGATTACAGGCTGAGCCACTGAGCCCAGCTTTGGGTGATTTCTTAATAGCTTGCCTATCAAAAGTATTGCGATTATTCTCTTTCAGTTTTTACTTTCTGAATGGTAACTTGACCATATTGAGGTTTAAGTTTGCATATAAATTATTTGTTCCCTTTTGAAAACCTGGTTTCAAAAGGTGTTACCTATTCTAACCTAATCAGCAGCTACATGGCTCCTTAATATTTACATTAAATATTAGCTGTAATTTTTTTTTGTAAGTGGCATTAGGTTGACATTTTACTTCATTTTTGTTGTGTCCTGTGTGGCTGGGTGGTAAAGGATCCTGAAAGAGGAATGGCGTGATATAGCACGATCTACAAGACAATTTTTAGAACTAGAAGGTAGGGGAACCAGGGGACACTTTGCCTCACAGGACAAAGGCCCCAAGTTTTTTACCCATCAGACTTTTATTAGTACAAAATGATGTAGTTAAATAAGCCTTTAAGGACAAAATATAGACAGTGCAAAGAAAACTCCCAGTTTTGATCTTAGAAAGATTTTGTGGTAAAGTGTGACTATTTGCAAAATGTAGTGCAGCTGCTTGCAAGACAATGTATAACTTTTTATCTATTTTAACACAACAGACACTGTACTTTTAGAACTTGCCTCAGCTTACATGCCTATCTGGCTTTGCCATTATAGGCATTCTTGGCTGGTTGTGACTTTGCACATACGCCAAGTATGTTTTCAGCAGAGTTCAAGCAGGGCAGTGGTCTCCAACACATTTTCTTTTTTCTTTTGTTTTTTTTTTTTGAGTTGGAGTCTCGCTCTGTCGCCCAGGCTGTAGCACAGTGGCACATTCAAGGCCACCCCAGCATCAGCCTGGTGGGCTCCGGCAATATTTCTACCTCAGACTTCCAAGTAGCTGGAATTACAGGTGTGCACTACCATACTTGGCTAATTTTTGACTTATTATAGAGATGAGGTCTTGCCAAGTTGTCCGGGCTGGTCGACCCTGCGGGCTCAGGCAGTCCACTCACCTCAGCCTCCCAAAGTGCTGGGATTACAGGCTGAGGCACCAAGCCCAGCCTTCACTTCATTTTCTTCAAGATAAGTAGCCAATTATGAAAATGTCATTTAAAAAAATCATTCACTTGCAAGTGAACCAGAATATCACCTTTGTTTATATATATATATATTTGTGTGTATACAATATATAATATACAGAGAGAGTAGGAAAAATAGCAATTGATATTTTACATGTGCCTGTTTGCTTCTGTATTCTGTACCCTGGTTCACTGAGTTACCTGCATATCTGCATTGTTTTGCTATTTATAGTAAATACATATTTTTGAAATTTAGAAATTTGAAGAAAAAATGAATAATGTTGGAATTAAAGTTTGACTAAAACTTAATTATAATGTTATTTAACCAAGTATCCTTTTTCATTATCTTGAACAACTTTTTTTCAGTTATTTGTGAGGTCATTGGTCTATTCACATTTCTTTTCACTCTGGAAGTATGTATTTGTTGCATACCTAACTATGGGCTAAACATTAAGAACAGACAACATTCCTGCCTCATGGGGCTGATATTGCAGAAGGGGGAGATGGGTAAATAAATTAAAAAGAAGATAAGTGCTCTTGAGTGTTTTAGGGACATGGCAGGGTGGCCAGATGACTTCAAGGTTTTTAGCCTGAATGACAGGGTAGATGGCAGTTTACCCACATAGGGGAGATTGAGAGAGAATAATGTGAGGGGACTCCATTCTGATTGGACTCTTTAGGTTTGAGGTGATGGTTGGGTATGCCAGGATTCTGTGGAGAAGGCAGGGCTGGATATATTGTTCTGGGAGTTAGTGACTGGTCCATAGCTGTTTCATTAATTGCCTGACTGACCTCCTCTGGCCCAAGCTTTCTCCCCCGCACACTGCCTCTAGTCTTGGGATCCATCCAGGATTAATCCAGGCTTCTGCTGGGAGTGTGCCCTGTTGGTGGTGCTCCTTCAAAGGGAGGACAGGGTTCCTGTGGCTTGTATCGTTTTGAGCTCACTTGGGTAGCAGTATTTCAAGTGGTTGGAGCACAGTGAGGCTGCCCAAGTTCAATCCTGACTGCATTTCCAAGTAGTATGTTCTTGGGCAAATAGTATTCAAGTTTCTGAGGCTCCATTTTTCTCATCTGTGAAATGGGGATAGTAGTAACTAGCTTGCGAGTTCTGTGAGGAATAAATGAGATAGGTGCTATAAAAATACTTAGCCTAATGCCTACCCTATAGTAAGTTTACTATAAATATAAGGGCTTGATATTTTCTGCTTTATATCCTCTCATTTTCTGGTCCCCTGATGAAACAAATCTTGCCTTTAATAGGACGGTTGTTAAAGTATAGTGATGCTGGAACTAGGCTCTGTATGTTTAAGTTCTAGCTCTTTTATTAGCTGTGTAACCTCAGCCAAGTTACTTAACTTCCTGGTTCTGGGTCCCCAGGATCATTTGCTTGGACTCATGGGGCTCAGTGTGTAGTTTTTCTCATGGCTAAGAATTATTACAGTGACACAGTAAGAATACCCAACTGGATCAGTAAGGGGGAGAGACACAGACAAGGTCTGGTGGAATCCACATGCAGGATTCCTGTGCTCTTCCGCTCATGAAAGGTCACACAGAGCACATCCAGTGGCAATAATGCAGTCTCCTGCGGGCAGTGTTTCTGCTTACAGGAGCTCAGGAGAGACCCAGAGCCCTAGGTTTTTGTTGGGAGCTGGACACATAGGCACCTTCTGCCTTCTCCGAACCAAAATTCTGATCCTGAAAGAAAATCACATCAGCCATAAATCACATCATTATACAAACAGTGATGTGAGCTGGTACACCAGGGTTTCATGCCCCAACCATACGAGCAAGAGGAACTTTTTGAAAGCTGATTCTCAGACTCCAGCCAAGGGTTAGCCAACCCTATAGGCCTTTCTAAAGATACCAGTCTTGGGCCTGCTGTGTTAACCCTTTTCTGCCTGCCTCTCTATGCTTCAGTGTCGTCATCTGTAAAGAAAGGATAAAAATAGTATTCAACCCAGGGGACTTTTAAACTCAACTTTATTGAGATATTATTTACATACATAAAATATACTCATTTTAAGTGTTCCATTCTATAAATTTTTCGATATGTAGTCACCACCATGACCAAGATATGGAGCATTTTTGACACTCCAGAAAGTTCTCTCATGCCCCGAATGTTACTGACTTGTCTGCTGCTGTTCATTTCCAATGCCATATCTGAGTCCTGGCTAACATGTCTCCCTGGAATATGGCAGCAGCTTCCTATGTGATCTTCCTGTGTTTATCCTTGGCCCATTCCAGTGTGTTTTTCCGTACTGTATCAGATTCATATTTTTAAGGCTATTCACCTAATCTTATCACTACCCACTTTAAACAACCCTTCAGTGTTTGCTTCTTGGTTTTAAGAAAGACCAAAACCATCAATGTGTCCTAAGAGACTTTGAAAGACCTGGCCACTTCCTAATTCACAGTGTCATTTGCCTGCTATTGTAGTATGTGGGACTTCTTACTGCTTCAGGATTTTCACTAACTGTCCCCTCTGTCTGGAACCCTCTCCTCTCCTTTTTTCCCTCAATTAATTCTTACCGCTGCCTTAGGATTTAGGTCCAGTTTTACTTTGTCAAATAAACCATTTGCCTCTACAAACATTATTTGTTTTTTTTTTTTGAGTTGGAGTCTCACTCTGTCACCCAGACTGGAGTGCAGTGGCCGCTCCCGGTCACCGCAGCCTCGACCTGCTGGGCTCCGGCGATCCTTCCACCTCAGCCTTCCAAGTAGCTGGAATTACAGGCATGCATTACCATGCCCGGCTGATTTTTTTGATTTATTGTAGAGATGAGGTCTTGCTGCCCAGGCAGGTCTCAAACCTGTGGGCTCAGGCAATCCACTCACCTCAGCCTCCCAAAGGCACGGGATTACAGGCTGAGCCACTGAACCCGGCTTACAAACATTATTCACAATAGGAATGGCTTATTGCACCTAGACTATTAGTGCAAATATATGGTTTTTGCTGAAAACTTGCTTTTATGCTAGAATTATAACATGCTAGTCAGAGCGTGTCTGTGTAACCAGTCCACAATGAAAACACTGGTCAGTGAGTCGCCAGTGAGCCTCTCTGGTAGACAACATTTCACATGCTTTGTTAGTTAATTTTTGGAGGAGTTAAGCAAGTCCTGTGTGACTCCCGTGGAATGGTATGCTCAGAAGTTTGCACCTGGTTTCCTCCAGACTTCACCAAATGTGCCTTTTCCCCTTGCTGACTTTCCTTTATTTTCTTTCACTGCTCACCTTCCCCTGCTACCCCATATGCCCAGTTTACCTTACCTAGTAGATGTTTGTGCTACTGGTGCTTTCCACTCTAGGAGCCATTGACCTTCAAGGATGTGGCTGTGGTCTTCACTGAGGAGGAGCTGGGACTGCTGGACCCTGCCCAGAGGAAGCTATACCGAGATGTGATGCTGGAGAACTTCCGGAACCTGCTCTCCGTGGGTGAGGGGAATCTCTCTGGGCATTTGAAACTGAATTTATTGGAGTGTTCTTATTCCCTGGATATAAGATATTTTTTGGTCTTTGTCCACCGATTACATCCTAATTTTATAGAACTGTTCGTCTTACCTTGGGCTGCTATAACAGATTGCCCTAGACTGTGTGGCATATGAACAACACATATTTATTTCTCACAGTCTGAAGACTGAAGTCTGAGATCAGAATGCCAGCATGGTCAGTTCTAGGGAGGGCCCTCTTTCAGGGCACAGACGACTGACTTCTTGTTGTATCTTGACATGGCAGAAAAGAGCAAGAGAGCTGTCTGGGGTCTCTTATAAAAGGGCACTAATCTCATTGATCAGGGTTCACCCTCATGACCTGATTACTTCCCAAAGACCTGCCTCCTAATACCATCACATTGGAGTTTAGGATTTCAGCTTAGGAATTTTAGGAGATTTGGGTGATGAATGGAGAAACTCGAAGAGGTGCATATCTAGGTTAGGATCGTGACGCCTAGAGTCCTTGGAGGCAAGAGCCTGGCTAGGTAGTGAGGAGGTAAGCTTGCTACATAAGAGGCTCCTATCTTCTCTTAGTTTCTTCATGCCTTTCGGAGAATGATATACCCAGAGCGAGTGGGGCTCTCTGGACTTTCTTCTTCTGACAGAAATAACCGGGCAGGCTGGGCTCAGTGGCTCAGCCTGTAATCCCAGCACTTTGGGAGGCCTAGGCAAGTGGATTGCCTGAGCCTACAGGTTCAAGACCAGCCTGGGCAACTTGGCGACACCTCGTCTCTACAATAAATCAAAAATATCAACCAGGCGTGGTAGCATGTCTGTAGTTCTGGTTACTTGGGAGGCTAAGGTGGAAGGATCGCTTGAGCCTAGCAGGTCGACACTGGGGTGGTCGTGAGTGTACCACTGCACTCGAGCCTAGATGACAGAGTGAGACTCTGACTCCAAATAGGAATCCACACAATCCTAAGGCGTGGTGCCAACAATGTAAATATATGAACTGATTTAATCCTCAGAATAACACTGAAAAAGGAACCATTATTATCTTCATCTTCTAGACCACGAATCAAGGTAGAGGTGTTTTGATGTCACCATGCCCTACTAGCATTGTGTGGATCCCTATTGAATCTGCTCACAGAAGACACAGACACAGCTGATACACTTGGAGGATATGGTGCTTTGTTCGCTCCCAAGTTTAGCTCACACATACTCAGAAGTAGAGTTACCCTTGAGAAGTAGTGAGAAGGCTAAGTGTGGGCCCCAAAACCAGACTTTCTGCAGTTGAATCCCAGCTCTACCACTTCCTCACAGTATAGTGGAATACTGTGCTAGCTCACCTACCCTCCCTCTACCTTGAATCATGGTCTAGAAGGTGAAGATAATAATGGTTCCTTTTTCAGTGTTATTCTGAGGATTAAATCAGTTAATATATTTACATTGTTGGCACAAGGGAAGTGTTATAATAGTGTTTGATATTATTGACAACAACAGCAGCATTAAGTGGATAAGTGAATTTTTTCTATAAAAATCTTTTCAGAATTTCTTTTTTGGCTTGACAACTTTGTGATGAGACTTGTTTGTTACTAATGGGATCATATTAGCATTTAGCTTCAAAGCTTTTTAATAGGCACCTCTTCCTGTTTTCAGACAAAAATAAGTGCTAAATTTGCCTCTAGTCTGTTGCTGGTTCAAATCTGAAAGCCTGGTATCCCTGAGCCAATCTTTTACTTGTTCTCACCTCTAAATTGTCCTTGACCTCACAGGAGACAAGAATGGAAAGAATATGGAGGATATTCAAACAAAAGAAATAAGGTTCCATTCACACAAAGAGCTCTCCTACTGGAAAATGTGGCAACAGGTGGCTGGTGAATTAACAGTGAGTCAAGACTGGAGTGTAAATCTACAAGGGAAAGATTTCCAGGTCTCAGAAGATGTTGCTCCCTGTCAATTGTGGGAAGGAGCAACTCCTTGGGTTTTTCCAACTGAAAATTCAGTGGACGGTCTACAGGGGGATGGGGCCATCGATTTAGGAAATCTGCAGTTTCCAACCTGGAGAGCAGTAAGACCGGTTCCCATTCAAGAATCTTGGACAAAAACCTTTGTGAATGAGCTGTGGAATGTTCAAGAAAGATATAAAAAACTCGACACTGAAAATACAGTATATAAATGTGCTTGGAACGATTACAACTTTTGCTGGATATCAGATTGTCATGATAACCACAGATTACCTGAAAGAGACAAACTGTGTAATTGCGATAAATGTAGAAAAAACTACATTAAAAAGTCCATACTTTGTCATCCTAACCCTGGAGAGAATGGCTTGAAAAGTAACAAATGTGAAAATGACTTCAGGGATGATTCAAATCTTCCCACCTGTCCGAGAGTGCCCTTGAAAGAGAAACCCTATAAATATGAGCTCGGTAAGGGCTCGAGGCAGAGTTCCTGTCTTGACCAACATCGAAGAATTCCCATGGGAGAGAAATCCTTTAAAAGTCTCCTTGAGCACAGGCAGGGCTTCAGGCAAAACGCACACATTCACAGCCATCCTGGAGTCCCTGTGGGAGAGATGCCCCACAGCTGTGATGTCTGCGGGAAGGGGTTCAGGTATAAATCAGTTCTTCTTATTCATCAAGGGGTACACACGGGAAAGAAACCCTATATATGTGGGGAGTGTGGGAAGGCCTTTGGTCGAAGCTCAAACCTTCTCGTGCATCAGAGGGTTCACACCGGAGAGAAACCATACAAATGCAGTGAGTGTGGGAAGGGCTTCAGTTACAGCTCGGTGCTTCAAGTCCATCAGAGGCTGCACACAGGGGAGAAGCCCTACACATGCAGCGAGTGTGGCAAAGGTTTCTGCGCCAAGTCAGCACTGCACAAGCATCAGCACGTCCACCCGGGAGAAAAGCCCTATCGCTGTCATGAGTGTGGGAAGGGATTCAGCTTTAGCTCTCACCTCAGCAGTCATCAGAAGACGCACACCGGCGAGAGGCCCTATCAGTGCGACAAGTGTGGCAAAGGTTTCAGTCACAACTCATACCTTCAAGCTCACCAGAGGATCCACACGGGGCAGCACCTCTACGAATGCAACGTCTGTGGTAAGAGTTTCATTTACAGCTCAGGGCTTCTCATGCATCAGAGGCTGCACACAGGGGAGAAACCATACAAATGTGAATGTGGGAAGGGCTTTGGCCGGAGCTCTGATCTCCATGTTCATCAGAGAGTCCACACAGGAGAGAAACCCTATAAATGCAGCGAGTGTGGGAAAGGCTTCCGGCGGAATTCAGACCTTCACAGTCACCAGAGGGTCCACACGGGAGAGAGGCCCTACATATGTAATGTGTGTGGGAAGGGTTTCATTTACAGCTCTGACCTTCTCATCCATCAGAGGGTCCACACAGGTGAGAAACCCTATAAATGTGCTGAGTGTGGCAAAGGCTTCCGTTACAGCTCGGGGCTTCTCGTTCACCAGAGAGTTCACACGGGTGAGAAACCTTACAAATGTCAAGAGTGTGGAAAGGGCTTCAGGTGCACCTCAAGCCTTCACAAACATCAGCGAGTCCACACGGGAAAGAAGCCCTATACCTGTGATCAGTGTGGCAAGAGATTCACTTACGGCTCCAACCTTCGTACCCACCAGAGATTGCACACAGGTGAGAAGCCCTACACGTGTTATGAATGTGGAAAGGGCTTCAGATACGGCTCAGGTCTCCTCAGTCACAAGAGAGTGCACACTGGCGAGAAGCCATATAGATGCAAGGTATGTGGGAAGGGCTACAGTCAGAGCTCACATCTTCAAGGTCATCAGAGGATCCATACTGGTGAGAAACCTTATAAATGTGAGGAGTGTGGGAAAGGCTTTAGCCGCAGCTCCTGTCTTCATGTCCATCAGAGGGTCCACACTGGAGAGAAGCCCTATAAATGTAGTACGTGTGGGAAAGGCTTCAGTTATAGCTCAGGTCTGCGAAACCACCAGAGAGTGCATTTAAACGAGACGCCTTATAATAAATAGATATGTGTGGAAGATTCCAGCTGGAATGCATAACTTTCCGTCCATCTGAAAACCAGCACAGAAAAGCCTTAGAAAGTGATGGATAGGAAGGGCGGCAGGAAAAGCTGACATTTCAAGGTTATCAGCTAGTCTGCACAGGAAGGGGAGACCTAGAAGTGTGAATAAGTAGGTAAGCACTTCATTCACAAAAGTCAGTCTTTATGAATCTCTTTCACAGCACAGTAGACCTTAAATGGGAGTAGCATCAGTAAAAATTGTCCCTTTCATCAGAGCGTGCCTGAGAGGGAGCTTTTAGAAATGTACAAGTAGCGAGAATATATATCCAAGGTGCAAATTATGGACACAGATTTCTTGTTTGGGCCGATACCTACCAATGGAACATTGTAGAAAAAGGTTATCACCTTTCTAAAACCAATATCATAGTATCTTTTCAAAGGTAGTTTTATAAAAATGAGAAGATGACATTAACATTTATTGAAGCAAATTACTTTTTGAAGATCAGGAACAGCTAAAGTGAAAGTTACTCTTGGCAGGTCTGGATAATGTGTCTGTCTCACGTTTTCATCATGGTTTTGCGATTGTGTTTTATTTTACAGAAGTAAACTTTACCAGTCTCATAGAAAGGGTATCATAAAATAAATGCTACAAAACTCAGCCATCTGCTTATGTTACTCCAGGGTATGGTAAAAACCCTGGAGTAACATAAGAAAGGGTATGGTAAACTCCAGGAAAACGTATTTTTGCCAGGTTTGAAAAACTGAATCTGATTGACATTATTGAATTTATTTGTTAATTTGGAAGGAACTTGCACAATCTAAGTGCTGATTATTTTTTTCCATCTTGAAAATGCTGTTTGTTTCCACTTACTCAAGTTATCTTACATGACCCCTCAGTAATATTTTTTAGAGATGGTTAAAAATAGGTTCTGAATATTATTACGTGTATTTTTTGTTGTTGTTTTATTGAGATCATAATATTTTTACCCCATTTCATTTCATCATTTTTATATACATTGCACACATATTAGATATCTTAATCAGAAATACCATTTTCAGCTTACTATATTAGCACTGCTAAATTAGAGTCACCAAATTTATCATCTGTGGGGGTTGTGGACACTGCAGTCTTATGCCCTTATGGTGAGAGAAATTGTATCATCATTTTTGAAAGAATTTGTCAGTGTATTAATTCAATTTGTATAATCTTTGAAGAGGCAATAAGTGTGCAGTGATTTATACTTGAGAGATAGTTGCACATGTGGGTAAAGACATAAGCAGATGGCTGAGTTTTGTAGCATTTATTTTATAATAAAAAAATTCATAATATTCTGAGTGCCCATTGGTAGGAAATTGTTTAAATGAGTTAAGGCATGCATATACAAGGGAAAACTAAAAATCTTCGGACACACATAGAATGACACTGAAGGTTGCCTGTGAACTATTTGGTGAGCCAGGAAAGTTGTAGAACAACAATTCTAGCATGGCCCCATTTTGTTGATATATTTTTGTGTATGTTTGTATTTAGAGCAAGAGAGGGAAAGATGTGTGAGACGTCAGTATTCTAACTGCTTGTTCCACTCTAGCAGGTGGAACACTGGGTGTGTAATACATTTGTTTTACTTTTATATATATTTTTAAACAGTGTCAATTTTATAATCACAGTAAAGCTATTTTTAAAAAATTAGTTGTGGAACACTTCCTTATGGTCAAAGATCCATGTTGTAAACTCAATTTTTATTTTGCTTTTCCTACTGTACTTAGCATCCAGTGCCAAATACAAGCTATACAAGTGAACCATGAGATTTGTGGTTTAAATACTCTCAGAGACTACATCATTTTCTGGCTGGGAGATGAGGGAGTCTAGGAAATTGGCAGGACCTCAGCACCTCCATTCTGCACTCCAGCCTTCTCAGACCAGTAGGGCCACAGGCCTGACTTCATAGAGGGCAGTGCAGCATGACATTGCTGCTGCAGGCTGACTGTCCATCTGGGTGTCTCAGGAGACCTGGGGCTTCTCTGGCCTGAGCTCCTGTCTGTTGCCTGGGGCTGCCAGACAGAGAGTCTTAAGTTACAGGCATGGGGGAGGGGCTGGGAATGGGCATTTTCTATGTGAATCAATAAAGAACATTTCTAGGGGTCTGAAACAAAGTGTTGATTGTGGGAAATGGTTACATTTCAGAAAGGGGCATGGGAAAAAAGCAATTATTTTCTGGAACCTCAGTATGGTCACTCAGGTGATGGGGTAGGATTTTATGGCCAGCAGAACAAAAAATGCTGATACCATCCCTGGCCCTCAAACCTTTGAAGTCTTGGTTCAAAAGTTTATGGATTCCCAAAAGTGGAAAACAGACTTCTAAAATTCTGGATAGTGTGTCCCCTAGTGTTCTGGAGGTAGGTGTCCAGTGTTGGTTAGGGCTGCAGTCATCTGAATGCTGGACTTGGCCTTAGAAGATCTGCTTTAAGGATGCAAAATAAACTTTAAAAAATTTAAATTTGATCTGATTTTACTTTTGACAACAGGCTTTTTTTTTTCTTTTTGGATGAATGGATTGAAAACGTATTGTTTTCACTGGGGGTTGCCCCCCAAAAACTAGAATGTTGAGGGCTTTATCTTGTTATGTTAACACCCACACCAACTGCCCTAGTTCTCCCAAGACAGTCCAGTCAATCTCTTGAGTAAGGAATGCTCTGGGGCTTTTAGTCAGGAAACTAATGACCTGACTACCTGGTGCTCTGCAAGAGAATTAGGGAGAGGAGTGGGTATGGGGATTAAAAAAGATCTTAATTTCTACAACTTTCTACCCCCACTTCTCAGTTCCTCCCTCTGTCTCACATGTGGTCATTGGGTCTAGAACCTGTCCAGGGCTCTTCCCTTCAGCTCATCTGTCTTCGCTGCAGTTCCTCCATGTTATCTAGGCTGTGGCTCCTGTGCCCTGCTTCAGTCCATTTTTCTATTCACTTGACTTAGGTATTTGTGGAATTCTCTCATCTACTGATGCTGCCTTTTGTTTTCTTCATTGTTGCAGGTTTATACTTAAAAAGAAAAGTGTACTTCCTTTACATTTTCAGGCTTCAGAAAGAGAGTAATATAAACACATTTTCTCAGTTCATCAAAATAAATCCACTCTTAAAATCTTGTACCCCTTCCTTTTTAAAAAATTTTCCCCACTGTTTGTTTTTCCTATTAATTCTGTTTCCTTACTTGTTTTCTGTTTGTTAAATTTGGTGCGTCTATGTCAAAATCAATATAATTAACATAATAAACTTAATAGGTATCAAGAATAAGTTGCATCTTTGGAAAAAAGCTTACCTTGTGAAAAAATATAAGATGATCTAAATAAGATGATTTAAACAAAAACATGAGTTGGTGGATAGAATAATGGATGGACATTGCCAAAAGCGCAAATTAGTGAGCTGAAAATTTTTGCAAGGGATTATTTTAGAGTATAATGCAAGAAGATAGCCCTCTGGAATATATGATGGATATTAGGAGATATGAAGAAACCAACATGTGGCTAATGAGAGTGTCAGAAAGGGAGTGAATATACAATGCTGGGGAGCAAAAACTCAAATAAAATAGAACATATCCCAGAGCTGGAGGAAAGACATGAGATTCTTACTGAAAGGTCCTGCTGAGTGCTTAACAGGAATACATTTTTAAAAATAATAATTATGTATTTTATATGGTAAAATTTCAGTTGATAAAAGGAAAACCTTAAAAGCCTCAAGAGGAGAAGTGAAACCTAAGTATTACCTGTAAGAGAATGAGAATTAATTTGCTGTCATACTGTACATCAGCAGTAAAACCTAAAAGAGGCACAATGTTTTAAAGTTATGAAGGACTGTAACTTTTATCTGAGTAGTCTACTTAGGCAAACCAGCATTTACTTTGAGGGTAGAGGGAAGATGTAAGACACAAAAGGACTTGGAATTTACCACCTATCAACTATCTAAAAAATATTTCTTAAGAACGTAAACCAGCAAAACAAATTCAAGAAAGGAGGGTGTACAGTGTGTACAACAAGCAGGCATATATGACAGATGAGAGGAGAGGGAAGAAAGAAGAGAGCACATTAAAACATTTTTTTATTTGGAGGGATGATATAAATACTGGTGACCTCTAATCAACTTTTAGTAGAGGAATTTCCATATATTTCTATTTTATTTTATTTTTTTGAGTTTCACTCTTGTTGCCCAGGCTGGAGTGCAGTGTGCATGCTCACGGCCACCACAACCTTGACTTGCTGGGCTCAGGCGATCCTTCCACCTCAGCCTTCCAAGTAGCTGGGACTACAGATGCATGTCACCATGCCTGGTTAGTTTTTGTGATTTCTCATAGAGACGAGGTCTCACCAAGTTGCCCAGGCTGGTCTTGAACTCCTGGGCTCAGGCAGTCCTCTCGTCTCAGCCTCTCAAAGTACTGGGATTACAGGCTAAACCAACATGCCCGGCCTTCATATTTATAAAACATCTTATTTTGCCTTTATTAACAATAATTTTAAAAAATTTCCTTTCCTTTTATGTAATTGTTTTATTCATTTTCATTCCTTTTGTGCAGTGTTTCTCAAGGGTTTGCTGTTGTGTGTTTTGGAGAAATGACTTCTTTGTTGGGAAGGATTGATTTGCACATTCCTTACTTCTACATATTAAATGCATCCCCCAGTCAGGACAAGCAAAGGTCACTTATACATTTTTAAAACTTTTGGGGATGCCATTCCATTCCTGGTTGAGAGTCACTGTCCTATTTTTTAATTTCTATTTTTAGAGACAAAGTCTCACTCTGTCACCCAGGCAGGAGTGCAGTGGCAGAGTCACAGCTCACTGCAGCCTTGAACCTTGGGCTCAAGTGATCCTCTTACCTCAGCCTCCCAAGCAACTTGGAATTTCAGACAAGAGTCACTGTTGTGTAATTAGGTGGTGATAGCAGCTCCTGTGTCTATTATACCAGAACTTTCCCTTTTGTTTTTAACACATGTGTTTAGGTTTATATTTTCAGACTAACAACAAGCTCTCAGACTGGGTAAAAGGTAACATTTAAATGTAAGTATGATAATAAAGAATATATAAAGAAACAATACTAATTTAAGACAAAGTGATGAAAATACATAGCAGGTGAATTCTAATGAAAACAGTTGCAATTTTCACTAAAAGTTACACTCAAGGTGAAAAATAGAAGTTACTTCAAGTGTTATTAAAATCCTGAGTTAATCAAGACTATATACTTACCATAAAACTTGTACAGGGTGAACATCAGTAATCCAAAAATTTAATATCTGAAATGTTCCAAAATCTGAAACTTATT